TACATATATATATATATATATATATATATATATATGTATAAAATGGTAGTGGGGGCAAGTGCCCCTACACTCGTACAAGTGGATCTGTCACTGGCTGTTGGCGAGGAGTAGAAGAAGTTCAAGTTAGGTGTGATGGTTGACGGTGCTCTAACAACAATATACAATGGTCAACGATAACGGATTATCGAGAAGGTAATCATACTATATGAAAGGTGTATTATAAAAATTTTATTCTTAAATTAATCTAACAACTATAAATTGTGGAGCATAGTGGATCACTTGTAAAAGTGGTTCACCTTAAAACCTGTCCTAAAATAAATTAGACAATTATCAACAATTAATTATCAACATATAATGTATTGTCATGGCAACTCATTAGTAAATTTAATATTATAATTGACTTCTCGCTATCATGAATAATTATTTCTCTCCTTGTTTTGTTTAACTAAAAACAAATTTAAGAGACAAATACTATATAATATCATATAATTTAATTATTATATTAATTAAATTTGTATTTTACAATAAATATTAAAAATATAATTTTATTAATTTTAGGGTTTGATGTTATTGAATCCTAATTTATAGTGAGAAAATTTATTTATTGTTATTAGAATATGAGAGTGAAATAAAGGAATCTTATTAAGATTAAAATATATGTTAAAATTGTATTTATAACTTACTCTTCTATCCGTTGTCTTTTAAATGTCTTATAATACATGATGTGAACTTCTTTTTTCTTGAAGAAAAGACAAATCTTCCTCTCTTCAATTGTCCTATTTTTTAAGGTTTAATAGTGATGCACAATTTTTACACGGTCAAATAATAAAAAATTATTACTAATATAAGTTTTGAAATAACTATCATAAAAGTAAAAAAAAATGATTATTTGTAATTAAAATTAAATAACTATAAAAAATTGTTTTATATTATGATTGTATCGTCTTTTTTTGTCAATTTTAAGTGCTCTTCTCTTTTTAGATATTCTTTCATTCAACTCAATTAATTATGCGTTTTCTTTTCTCAAAACGATACTTTGTTTTGTGTTGTTGGCCGCAGCTGGTCCTTTGTTGAATAAAAGGAAACACAACACACACTTCGACAATTGAACGTAATGCCTTTATAGTTTTATGAGCCCTCCTTTCTCACGCATTTCCACCCCAAACAACCTCAAGACTGTTCAACTGTTTCCACATCAAATTTTTTTCTTCAAAATTTGATGTTTGCTTATTCTTACATTACTAGGACAAAATTCTGAAGCTAGGTACAAATTTTAAAGTCATCCCCTTCATTTACTTAACTACTCCAAACACCATTTGCTTTTATTCGCACCCATTGTTGATGTGCACAAGTCTTCTTAGTCTTAAATTATTTTCAAGTTTATTCATTGTTTAATTTGGAGACAATACTACTTCCATGTTTAGAATCTCCAACCATGTGAAACAAATTATTGGTTTTATCTGCTGGGGCCCTACAATCATGAATCATCACCGTATAGGAAATTAGGAACAGAACAAAAATCTCGGGTAGGATAATGGGAAAACAACCCCATCTTTGATCCCACATAATGCATCAATATTTTAGTTAAACAAAGCTCACAAATTTGCTTGGACACACGCGGTTTTGTTAAAAAATTAATAAACCATTTTTTAATTAAAAAATACGGTAAAAATATATTTGTATCAATTGCATTTCAAACACAAACTTTTCATTTTTAATTTCTTAATCATTGTCTTCGAGACAATCTATATAAGGACAAAGTGATTAATAAACAAATGGTTGATTATGATAAAGATGAATAAAATGATATTGATGATGATTGAACTAATAATGAGGGTGTTGGTTATAAAATAACTTTGTCAGAAGATTTGATCCGGGGAACGGATAATATATGCATAGTTTAAAGAAAGAAAATGAAGGCAAATAATCGTAACATTCTATAATGCCTAAGTTTAATGCACCGCACAATAAATTGGAAGGAATGGGTACATACTGCTAAAAAGGAAGCATTGCAGAGGAGTTTGCTAATGTAGCATACTAATTAAATTTGTCGATTTAATCATTGACCACTTCAAGTATAGTTATACTTGCAGTATTATTTTTCTTTTTCCAAAAAGATTCTTATGCTTGTGACTTGTGACTTGTGACAGTGAGATGGAACATAAGGAAGTTTGGGCCAAGCCCAACCCACTGTCGTGCAGTGCGCATCCAATCTAACCCGACTGACCCTAAGAATTAAACTTGGACTCTGGCCTTTGTACATTCTTCAATATCAGTTAGTCGTTGAAGGGGGACATTAAGGAAAGAGGAAATAATTTTTACTTTAATATATTTTAATTAAATTAAAAAATTCTTTATACCATTATTTAATTAGCTAGTTTTATAATACTTTAATTTATTTTTAATTTCCGTGAATTTACTCAACACACGTAAAGATGTTTGAATATAAATTAAGTCTTACATCATTAGAACCAATATATTAGAAATTGGACTGGTCATTAGATCAGTCAGGTTACTGAATCAGTATATTAGAGATAGACTTGGTGAATTACTAATTAAACTGCATGATCAGGTCTTTAATAATTTTTTAAAAAAATATTCATATTATATATATTTCATACTTATAAATTTCAATAACATTCATTCCATGTCTTAAAAGAAGTACTCAAAAAAAATTATAGTCGGTATGATATTGACAGAGCAACAAAATTATAGATAAATTGAATTACATAAACTAATATAATTAAATATATAACTTCAAATTAAAAATTCTTAAATAAATTATTTAAGTGGATTATATAATAATAAAATATATGAAATTGTTGATTACTAAAATTTTAAATAGTCACATTCAATTATTTCATTTTATCTAAAATTATCTATTTTTACATGAAAAAGTATTTTATTATAAAAAAATTAATCAAAAATACCACATATCACAAAAAAATATATCTAATATATATATATATA